GTGTGCAAGTTGCGCACGTTAAAGATCCCTTGGTGGTCTAAAATCGATAAGAGTAGGCTTCGGCCGCCACCCGGGCAAAATTCAAAATTTCCTACCAACTAAAAGTATTAGGTGTGTCCCGCGCGCTCATATTATGACCTATGCAGTTGCGAGCGCCGTAAAAACACTTACCAAAACAAACAAAACAAAGTGATATTATCGGCCAAACTGGTGTTTTCGAGGGAACAGAGTTGTAGCCGTTGCTCCTTTGTTGGTTCTTAATTCTATCTGGGTTTTTTATTCTGTTTCCTTTGTTGACGTTGTTGTTGATGTTGTTGTTACTGTTGTTATTGTTGCTGCTGTTGCTGTTGCTGTTGTTGTTGTTGTTGTTGTTGCTGATGTTTTGGTTTTTCATTTTTAGTAACTGTAGTAAGGCCTAGTGGTTAGGCTCTCGGACTCGCAACCGTAAGGTCGTGGGTTCGAATCCCGTCAGGGGCCCGACGTTGTGTCCTTGGGAAAGGCACTTTGCACAAATTTTCCTCACTTCATCCAGGTGGAAATGGGTACCCGGCTGTAGATTGTAAACAATCTTTTCAGTTTGATAGTGTTTGAGCGCATGAAATCAGCAGCTTGCACTGTATGCTTCCACGGAAGCCGAGAATGTTTCTGAGTGTTCTCAGAGGGTCTGCTGGGGTAATAATAGTTGTAAAGCTCATAGAGCATGCTCTTGAGCATGGATATGCGCTATATAAATGCAATTTTTTGATGCTGCTCTGGTGTCTGAGGTTCAGGATATTACATTCATTTTTTATAGTTACCCCTGCTGTAAGGTATGTTCTATCAATTGCTCGATACCTCAGATTTACAAAGCTCTATCTGCTCAGTACCAAGTTATGAGAAAGCTAACGTCAAAGATCTTGAGGGGGCTCTCGTGGCCTAGAGGTTAAGGTGTTGGCCTCTCATTCAAAGGTCCCGGGTTCGAATCCGGGTAGCGACCAAAAAATTTTCTTCTCTAAAATTGTCTCCTTTCACCTCCTTTCCTGCTCTCTAGCAATGTTCTGTTGTCTGCTTTCATTTCCACTTTCAGCCCCCACCCCTTCACCTCCTTTGCCCCCTCCTCTGGGCCCCTGACTCTTTCTGCAGCCTTTCTACTGCTACTCCTTGGCTCCTCCTTACTGCTGTCTTTCTGCCACACCCCTGATCGTCTGGTAGGAAAGATCTACACTTAGCCTTCTCGGACAAGGGCGAAAAATCTCGGAGGGCCCGTGTGCAAGTTGTGCACATTAAAGATCCCTTGATGGTCTAAAATTGATAAGAGTAGGCTTCGGCCGCCACCCGGGCAAAATTCAAAATTTTCTACCAACTGAAAATATTAGGTGTGTCCCGCGCGCTCA